ACGAGCCTCTCGCCAAGCTCATCCATCAGACCTCAGCCAGCAGCTTGCGGAACTCCGGGCCATGGTCAGCATGCTGACCACACTGGTCTTGCGCCAGGAAGTGCAGATGAACATATACAAGCAGGACACAGCGTTCGTCTTGTTTGTGGGAAGCCAAGGTCCTGGGAACTTGGCTCAATCCCTATACGGCATAGGCGAGACATGGCGCCAGACGAAGGAGCACAAGCCGGAGCAGGTCAAGGCCCCGATGAGAGTGATCATGTTCCAGCATGTGCTGGAGACGGTGGCGACGAAATTCCAGGAGATGATGGCCACCCCGTCGTCGAGGTCAACGGCTCAGCACATGGGCTTTCTTCTGCAGGATGGAGTGTCCATCCCGGCTTTGAAATGGGACCCGACGACGAAGCAGCTGATTCGCGACGACAAGGTGGAGCCGCTCAACGTGACGGAGATCAAGGAAGCCCTCCAGAACCTACTGGTGCTCAGCTCCAAGGACAGGGTCATCAACCGCTTCCATGGCATGCGCAAGTTGAGCGAAGAATACAAGGCCCCGAGCCTGGGGATGTTCCTGGAGATAGGGGTTCGGACGGCCGAAGCCTCGGAGGCCTGGCAACTCCTACATCGCTTTCAGCAGTCGGCAGCGTGGCAGGCTGCAAGCCTCTTCATGAGGCACGAGAGGATGACAATGAGTGCCCTCGCCAAACGATTGGCCGCTTTGACCAGGGGACAGTGACGTCGTCCGCAATCTGGAGTTGTGGGAGGAGGGCCTTGAGCATCTGTAGGTCCTGAGTGGCTTCCTTGAGCTCCACGGGAACCGTCGGTTCCATCCTCGTTCCGAACGAGTCGAACATGTTCTCGAACCTGTGCTTCCGGGATCACTCGAGAGGTTCCTGCAAGGCCAACCTGTTTCCCTCGAGCCAACCGATGGTGTAGGTACACTCCATTGAAGACACCCACACATGACCTGAGGTGAGCATCCTTACGTGAGTACGTCATACCACAATAGGTGCACGGATGGCTGAGGCTGATTTTGCTCGCCTGGATGTCCAGGATGCATCTGTCTATCAAGGGTTGATGCTCAGGATGTCGGGCAAACATGTGTCTGCGAACATACTGGGGTTTGGCACACCAGTGATTGCATTCAA